GAATACTTTTTAAGAAAAAAAATTATCAATAAAAGCAATAGGAAATAAGGAGTAAGGAAAAATAGAAAAATAGGAAAGAAATTTTTGGTGATACAATCTGAGTATCAGATAGGACTCTTGTCTCAGTTTCTTAAACTGAGTGACATTGAATAAATTATTTAGCCTCTCAAAGTCTTCACAATAATATGTAAGAAAGCTCATAGAGCATTAGTAAGCACCACAGCTATAAAGGCAAGGTTCTATAAAGGCAGGGATCTGTGGAATGATGCAATCAAATACAAAGAGTTTTCTAGTCTTAATGTCCTGAGAAGGGAACCACTTTTACATTCTTTCATGCTCTGAGTTTGGATGGTCAAATAGGATTCAAACATAGGTCATCAAGGGACAATGACTGAGGAAGAGGAATTCAGTCCAGAGCACTTCAATTGACTTAACATGCACTATCAAAAAAAAAAAAAAATCCATTGAGATCCTGCTCTCTCCAGCATACTCTGGAATGGGAAGATGGAAAGACTCACACATTGGAGAACTCATCAGTCTTCCTTTACCAGAAAGTCTGGCTCTGACCTGAAAAGCTCTTATTGCCCCATGTTCAGGGTTCTAATAGCCCTGACAACACAACCAGCCACCCACTGACAGCAGAAAGAGGATCTTGCACAATCTCAGACAACTCAGCTTCCCAGGGGGTCCAGAGCTGTGGCTAAAATTAATTCCTCATGTTCAACTCACCTTTCACCTCCCCTCCCTTGTCTTCAGCATTGCATTGTATAGAGACAGCAATCAGAGGCTTTATAAGGAAGATTTGTCAGTGCCTGGATGATAGCTCTGGGCTGATTTTTCTTTTATTTCCCTCTCCCATTTCTTAGCCTTTCTATTTTCAGGTACAAAGAAAGAAGTTGCTTTTGAGTTCTATCTCTCAAAATTAAGGAATATACAATTCCAATTGCTACAGATCTATTTTCATTTTGGATCCGTCCTAATTCACAAAGATCCAATGCTATATGCCCTGTGTCTCAGCAGGTTCCAAATATTTCACAGTAGGATGTTTCAGTAGAGCCACATACAAGTCTATGAATGCCCATGAGACAATTCCGGAGTTGACTCATTCCTCCACACACATACTGGACTCCTTCAGCATTGGTGAGGATGACAATTTCCTGAGAGTGTGCCCACAGAGATAATTTAATACGAGATAACTTAATAAGATAATTAAGTGACTATCCTATAGGAGCTAGTCAACATTTCTTTGCTGTTTAAACATTAGAAAAGAAGAGTAACAAGACTATACTTGATGGTTTCTAAACTTCCTGTTATCAAGAAAACAGAATGGCTTGGATAAGGAGCATACATCATATTTTACAGGATCTCTGTAAAGATTGCCTAGAAAGGTGAATTTATTTTTTGATACAGGGGACATTTCTATTGTATGGTTTAAAGTAAATTAATTAAACACTGCCAGATTGTTCTAATGATGTGTTAAGTTTAGTTAAATTGATCCTTTCTATAGTATAGGGAAGTATGCAGGAGAGAAAATAAGGTATCCAAGGATCAAAAGGTAGGTCATTTCTAGGAAGTCTGGGGAAGTGGAGCATAAAACTCAAAGTTGGATTCCATCTAGTATATCATAACACTTTTCAAGCTCAGCAAAAAAATAATAAACTAGGTTCCTTTAAATACTCAAAATTCTTTCAGTGGTCTCACAGGAGCACATTGCCATTGTCTTCAGAATGGCTTAAGGGGCCAGCAGATGGCGTTATTATGTCACTCCCACTTAGCCAACCGAGGTTTGAGTCGTGGACCTGGAGGCTTAAAACTCACACCAGATATATGTGCATGTATGCCCAAGATCCCAAGAGGAGAATGGAGGAGAAGGAATTATGGCATGGCCATCCTCCACCCTGGGTGAGGGGTGGTGATTTCTCACTTTCTGTTTCTCTGTCTCTGGTGAGCTCAAGTGCCCTACAGCAAAAATCTCTCACAAATAAAAAAATAATAATAATAACAATAACAGCTTTAACACAAACTTTCTTCTTATGAAAATGATTTTCTACTCCATATCTCACAATAACCACCTTTTTGTGGCTATTGAAAGTAACCTTTGAAATATGGCACTTCTTTAAAGAAAGAAATGATTCTAAGATGACACAAGAAGAAAAATGCTTATTTCTAGCTATGCATTTTCCAAAAACATCCCCCAAATTGCTGTAGAAGAAATAGTGAGAATTCTGACCAATTGAGAACAGAAGAAACTGATTCTAGTTTTGTTTCTCATTTATTATGTGACCTTAGTAGCTCCCCTTAGCATCTCTCTGGGTCTCTGTTTTAATTTAAAATGGAGAATAAAACATCCAGTCTACCCAATTTACAGATTCTTTAAAAACAAAGTAATATGTATGAGTGAACATATGTCACCATTAAAAATGCTACTCACATATTTGGAAATCCTCACAATTAACATTTGCTGATTATTGATTTAATTGACCTAGCATTATGTCAATTATTTTACATGCCTTCCACTCACTCAGTCTTCAAATTAACCTTATAAAGTAAGTTTTACCATTATGCTATTTCTTAGACTAGAAAACAAAAGGTATGAGAAGTTCAGTATTTGTCTGGAATTTGGAACTGAATCACCAAGTAGAAAAAATAAGCACCCATTTGTAGAACTAGCAAAACAAGAGTGAAAAATGAAAATCTGGAATGAAGGTATCCCATGTGTTTCTAAAGCGTTAGAGTAATCAGCAGGGGATAAAAATCAGAACTTTAATTCTTACTTATTTTATGTTTTAGTGTTGCGTTCTGAATTATATTTGGGGAGAGGCACGAGACATATCAATGCTTAGGGCATTTCGAGGTCTTAAATTGACTGCTTTAGACTCACAATTGATGAAACCAATGTTCCGACTCCAGTCAGTTCACTTCAAGGCCCATACTTATAACTGTTATCCTCTACCTTTTCTAACAATAATAACATGTATTATTACTAAATAACAGTTACCCATGATAATAATAGTTTTTAGGAGGAAGCAAGGCCATTAAAGAAAGGTTTATTCTGTTTTGAAAACATATAGGAAGCAGCCCATAATTTGGAACAAAATACACAAAGAGATAGATACACAGCAAGGATCACTGGTTTTCTTACATATCTGTGACTTTAAAATGACCATTAAAGAGCCTTTTTATTGCTGGCAGCAAACAGTGGATTCTCTATTGGCTCAGAGCAAGTGCTTAACATCAATTTAGAAATCTCTGAAATTCCTAATAGAAACACAACAAACCCTACAGCAGCACTACCAGGGCCAATGATAACATGCATGGAGAGAGAGATTGATTTTTCGTATGACCAATGCACAGCTTTTAAGATCTCAGGCTATTTTGATTCCTCCTACTGTCCCCCTCACTGTTCTTCCCTCAGGATTTAAGCAAGAAGCATTTAAAAATCATATCTATTAGTGTATAGTGAATTTGGATGATGATAAGAATTCATAGAAGCTGCTTGCACCTCTGGGTTTCTTGAAATGCTCAAAGACAACTTTATAAGGTCATTTTTGTGCCTTAATCTAAGAACTGCTGAGACACCCCCAGCAATGGCTGTGCTGGTTGTTTTATGGAAACTGGGATGGTAGGTAGATAAATGTGTAAGTGGGGCTTTTTGTCTCAATTCCTTGGGGGTCTTGTATGCTTTTAGTGGAATACTACCATAACTTTTAAGCCAGGTAATGGAAGACTGCCTATTAGGGGGAAATCCAGAGCCACAGATATATCTGATTGGCTTTTAGGAAAGTGAGCAATTAATGCTGAGTTCAGTATGAAAACTCAACACAGTCTTTAAGTCATTCAAAAATCTTGGGCCACAAACAGGCAAGTTTCTTTTTTTGCATTTTTCTCCAGTGTAATGATTACTAGTAAAATGGCTCTTAAGTGTCTAGAAATGTGCTCTGGTTTCTTTGTTAATGTGTTCATCTCACTCAAAAGGAAGTGAGAGAAAATAGATGAGAAAGTTGTGGAGAGTTTGGAGAGAAGAACAGTTAGATATTGCGACATAGCCTCATCAGTGAATAATACAACATTCTGAGCTATCCGCTTACATCCTACAGGTAACAATATATTGATAATGGTGAAGTCAAGATCCTTTGCTAAAATGTTTTCCCTCCCACTCCAGGCATTTTTATGGTCAGGATTCAGGACATTTTTTCTGGGAGAAATGAGAAATGAAAGGGAAAGCTAAGAGATTATTTGAATCATCTCTTTTTACAGAAAGCAACCTTTTCTCCCACTGTCCTTGATTCAGCCATCTGGCTCTGGGAGTTTGTTGCAGAACGTTCCTTGACTATAAAATGTAAAGGGATGATTAACCCCTTTCTTTCCCATGCCAGCATGATTGTTACAAAAATGCCTACTAGTATGCATTTCTGAAAATAAAGGCATATTTAATGTGAGAGAAAAAATGGTAAAGTTAACCAAATATATGAAATTTTACTGTTAGTTTTTTTTTTTTCTCCTCATGGTTACTCTGACTTGATACTCAACAATTCAAGTTTAGGACATCTCCTCTCATAGTCTCTCGGCCATCTCTAGCCACCTGTACCTTCAACCATGTCTGACTAAACAACAGCACAAAGTCCAGATTTCAAATCAATTATCCTATGATTATCAACAATAGTTACTGATAGAGATGGTGTCCATTCCCTCTGCTGCTCATTATTTGCAGTGCCCTGAGAAACCCAAAATAATTGTGTTTGGTATGAACCAGTCAGGCATATTTGTCAAAGATTGACAAAAGTAGTCAGTGCATAGTTAGTGAGTCTCCAGAAGCTCCCTACACTGATCAAGTCCTAAAGAAATGCTTATTGTATATTTACTCATAGAAAAAGAAATGTGAATGTGTGCTTCACTCAGTGTTTTATAATTTGGTGACAGTTATGAGAAAGAGGTCACCATGTAGAAGTGATCAATGGGAAAGCAAGAGAGAGTATGGTCATTGAGATTAAAACATGTACCTGTAGGATAATGCTCATTCACTGGCCAGTTGTCCACCTGGAGCGTGGCGTTGCCACCATTCCTGGTGAATCGCACCACATGGTATTTACCATCGTTCACGGGGGTTCGTTCTTCTTTGATAGAGATGTCGACAGTGCCAATATTGAAGACAACTCCAATTTTCCCCTGTTCCTGTAATAAAAAAAGGAAAAACAAAGCACAGTTATCACCTACCACAAGGTTTTCTCTCTTTAAAGTAGATCCTCCAACTAACAATAAACCTGTAGGTATCCAGAGGGAGATGTTGGCATGAAGTTAATAATAGTACCCTATATTTCTCCATGGACTTTCATCCTGAACATAAAAACCAATGGTATAAAGTCACCAAATTGCTCTCACAAGCTGCACAGCACAGGTTACATCATTCAATTGCCCTCAACGGGTATCAAGGCTGGAATGACAGAACTACCTAACCACTATTCAGTGAGTGACACTGCCAGGTTCATGTCTGTGTGATGAATTAGACCTATGTTTCTAAAAGATGTCAATAAGCCACTGAATCCTAAATCATTTCACAGTTCAGGTTTCAGATTAAAGAGAAAACACAAGCCTGCCTGCACATTTTGAAGTAATCAAGGCCGAGAGGAGGAGGTTCAGAATGGTTAAGAGCTAATGTCAGAGGATCTGATGTTACAGACTAAATCCTGATGATACATTTTGCAGGTCCAAATCACATAGACAAAGGATCCTAAGCAGAGACCAGGAAAACTGAGCTAGTGTTTTCAGAATCTGATAGCTGCTAGCCTTCCCACACGTGTAGCCCTGCTCTTCAGATTTACCCAAAGAAAGATATAATATTCAGTTCTACAGTTTATATTACATAGCAGAAGAGAAACTCTGTGGCTGCAAAAGACTTGTGCAGAATGGAAATTGCAATGAACTCAATAAGAGCAACACTACAGCCATAAAAATGAATGTGGAGATTGTGATGGTGGAGGTAATGAGATCATACACCTCCTGGGAAATGCCCAGAAACACTAGACTATAATCAATAGTGCTGTTAAACTCTTTCTCTTCTACTCTAATAATAGGTTATGACTAAGAGTTGGAATTAGTATTCACAATAAAATGAAAGTGACCTTACTGATCACATACAATCAGCATCTCTCAACCTCTTAGGAAGACATCATAACACTGTACAGTGTGGAAGGGATGGATGAAGGGAAGATGGCAGACATTTTTCTCCATGTATCTAGTTATCTGACTTCCTGGCAATAGGTTAGGCACTCAAGGATAACGGAATTTGGTTGTAATTCTGACATTTTACAAGACTGAGCGGCACTATTTGTTCACTAGCCTTTGTTACACTCTATTTCCTTTTTAAGAATTAAAGAATGGAAGAGAAAACCAAGAAGGAAAAAGCAGGATGGGAAGAAGAGAAACACAAGTATTAGTTAAAGAAATCTAGAGTCCATATAAAGTAATTTCTAGAAAAGATTTCACCAAATATCAGATTTAATTTGTCTCATTCATGCATTTATCTGTTATATAGTATGATATTTATTAAGTATCTGGTATGCTTAAGGTAAACTAAAAAATAAGACTTCTTGGAGCATGGGCATTGGTTTCCATATAGTTTGATATACTTCATTTGACAGGCTTTCCTAATCTCGGCATTTGTCCTTTAGCATGTGAATACATCTTGTATTCCACAAAAGGATCAACAACCACCCAGGAGTCATGGCCTTAGAAGGGAGAAATACGGACAGATTGATCAATAAAGAATGTTGTCAGCACTCGGGGGTGCTGAGATACAGGGTGGACATCATTGTTTCCTTCTGTACTAAAAGCATGGTATGGAATGCACCAAACAATGATGTCTGCAATTCCCATGTTCTGTTCTCTAATGAAAGTGGTCCAGGCACCACCCCAAAAGGTGGCTAAACATAGTCATGATTTCCTCAATTTTAGTTTATTGGGACTGCTTCCCAATAAAGTTTATAGCTACACTTCTACACCATGAAGAGTACCTCTTAAAATATGATGCATGGATAAATATAACCTGATTATGCATTCTTTTTGTACCTTTCATGGGCTTAATTAATAATATTATCCATTTTATTCTTTCCCCTGGATTCTCAAGGAACACAAAAACAACAATGTGACTTTTCTACTATCTCTTGAAGAACTGACATCCATTTCTAACACTGGGCATATACATATGTGTATATGTATGTCTTGGTGTCCAGTTGCCCTTGTGCCTAAATAATCAAGGCTCCAACAACCTGAGTCAGCCTCCTTAGCAGCATGAAAGGACTGGAGGAGTTAAGACACCACGACAGCAGAAGCCATTACTCCTCTGCCCACCCCCACAAATGTGGGCTGTTTATTACACCACTGTTTTTCAATGAGAAACCTCTATATAAATCCTGGATGCATGGAAAGGACTGCTGGTGATTCAATTCACCTCTGAGTCACTAATTAATCATGGGTGGAGAACAGTTTTAGGGAGAGAGGAGACCTTTAAACCAGCATCCTGCAGCTTTTCCGCAACAGCCGAGGCAAAGTACAGTTCTGGCTCAGTGAGTTGGCTGATCAGCAAGATATATTCTTGGGCAGATTTTCTGCAAGATCCATAATAGATTCAGGAAAAGAAAAGATTTAATCTCTGCCAGAATAAATATTTGGTCCTTATCTTAGGCACCACACATTTGCCATTGTAATCACTGTTTCAGAGAGATCTTCTTAATCCTGTTAGCATGCTGCCAAAGTCAGTGGAGACCCTTACCCAGATGTTTCATTTTGTTGCCCACAGTGGTAAACGCGGCTGGGTGAAACCTCAGATGCGGTCTCTTTATTCACAGTAATAAGATTTCTTTCCTGCAACTCCTTGTCATTTGTCATGGGACCACTGTGGCATTATAATCTGTGGCTAACTGCTTTGTTTCAGTTCATTATAAGTCATGGAAGCCTTGTGGCATATACCCATATAGTTGTCCAGGCTTGAATCTATCATACTCAGCTGTCATGAAAATAAACTCTGCTGGCTCATAGGTCCGGAAAAGAGAAGATAGAAGGGATAAAAACAATGGCTTTGGAGTCAGTCTTGACTGACCTTGGGCAAGTTACTTAACTTTTCTGAATCCATTTCTTTTTTGTAACTTGCCCTTGCTAGAGAGAAGAGAAAGAAAGAGGGAAAGCAAGAAAGCACCTCCCAGGGTGGGTAGCCACATCACAATCTAATCTCTTCCATTCTCCTCTCAGGATTGTGGGCATGCATGCATATGCATCTGGCATCTTTATCTAACTGCCAGGTCTGGGACTTGAACCTTGCGTTTGGTCATATGAGATCCAGACACCTTAACTATCACACCACTGGCTGCATCTGAATTCATTTTTTGTACCAGCTGTTCATACTTCAAAGGGCTGTTGTAAGGATACTATGCTGAATATGTTAAATATGACAGTATCTTATAAGTAATAAAACATTCTACATATATAAGAGACTGATGAGATCAGCAGAAGGGATCATATAATCATTTGACCATATATAACACTCTGTGGCTATTGGAAAAGTTAATTAGATCCATTGAATGAATGGGGGGTTTAGTGCAGCATAGTTCAATAATACCTTTTACTCTTATAGCTGTATGACTTTGAGCAGGTTTTTAACCTCTGATATATTTTCTATAAAGGAATGTGTAAAGGGAGGGAGAGGCAAATTGCTACTGCTAAAACTTCTTGTAAGGATTATATGAGAGTGCGTATATGTGAAGCACTTTGTACGTGGCTGTGCATACTTTCGGATCTCAATAAATGTCAGCTTTCCTTCATCTCATTAGAGTAATTGAAAGTAGTAGTATGAGTTAGGACTGGTTGGTTTGGTGGACACTGTCATCAAGATATATTGTGAAAGAAAATGTAAATTTTAACACACAGAACATTAAAAAAAAATTTGCAGGTTTGATTTCCTATCACAATTTGGTAGTTGTTATCTCTTCATATTCCTTAGTGCCTTTTATAAGCCTCTCTAAGACAAGCAAAGTGTAACTGCAAAAAACAGCATGACCATAAATTTTAATAACTCCACACCCATCACCACTAACATTGCTACCAAGGCAATCACTTCAATCTATGTTCTTCCTTGATATTAAAAACAAAGACAAATGGTAAATCAGAAGACATTACCAACGAATCCTCAAGTGCATGCAGAAAAGAACTGAAAGGTACAGAAAACAGCTGTCTTTAAAAAGCAGTAAGTCATTCTTCATCATAATGATTGTTTATGAGCCCAAATTAGTCCAGCTCCAGCTTTCTGATCTTCAGTCAGTCACATTACAATTATTGCTACTCAGATGACCCAAGAGATGCTGCCAACAACAAGGTCAGACATCAAGAGCAGATACCACAGGGGCAAGAAGAAGCCTCATGGAATAAAGATCTCCATAAAGACAATCTCTTAATTCATTCTAGTTACCTCAGGGAAGGCAGAATGCACCATTTGGCATTTCAGAAAACTATGGCTGAAAGAAACAGAACTGGGACTTTCAAATATATGACAGGGAGATGTGCAATGGAGGCATTTCTCAATAGCACTACTACTATATCTCCTGCAGAACTGGTTAGTTCAGTACTAGGCAATGACACAAGGAGAACAACATGCAAAGGGTGCCTCCTGTGGCCCAAGCACCACAAGGCCTTCCACACCCATTTTGATGTCTGGGTCATAGTACAGTACTCAGTGGCACTGTTTACAACATTTTCCTAGTTCTCTGCCATTATAAGCTCATTGTAAGGGAGACTTTCTGGGTCCCCTTGTGATAGGTAGGGTCAAAAACCAACAATGACTATAAATGGGGTGTTATTCCTGAGCCATGCATTCACTTGCTGACATGATCCTCACTAGAGTTTTCCCATGCACTTCCAACCACTGTACCCAACACATTACTGGTAGTGACTGCTTTGTCAGGTTGGCCATGGAATGAGAATGGTAGCAATCCAACTTTTCATGGACATGGAAGATGACTAAGAAGCAGAGTTTACTTGCTTGATGCCTCTCAGTATGTAGGGCCGTTAGTTACTACAGCATAATACAGACTACTTAGATGTTCAGTAAATATTCTAAAAAGAATTACTTTCAGATTCTCACAATGATCCACTAGGGAGTTCACAAGCTCATAAGTATATTTAAA